TTTTGTCATGCATGCATAATAGACATTTGTTTCAACTTTACATGAAATTTTATACTATATAATTATAATAAAATTAAATATAGCCATTATTTAATAAAATAAGTGCATAGGAATATCATGAAAAAAATAATCTTCTGAAAGATTTTTGTTAACTTTATTTATTATTAATCGACGTATCTAGTTATATTGGTATGTATGTATCATACTTTTGTTTTTTTGTCTACTTCTAATAAAGGATATTTAGGTAGTCGAATGTTCAAAAACACTAGTTTGCATGATATAAATTTTTTTGCATTCAATTATAATACAAAGAATGAATTAAACAAAAGAAAAAACATATTCATAATGAAAATATCAATGTAATCAATCAATTGAAATAGATGTTGAATGTAGACTTGATAAGAATATACAAATTTTCTGCTCATTTTATGATATAAATATAGATTTGCATTATTTTCACAATTATAGTCAAAAACTTAAGATCAGTTAAAGTCTAGCTGATCATTGATTTCCAATTATTGCGTTAAAGTAAAGCTCTGTGAAATCTTACTAGTTACTAGTTCCTTTTAAATACTCATATTGAAGTTCCGTAGGTAACTTCATTTATTTGATTTTTTTCTTCTGATGAAACTGTAAATCATATTATTCATGTTATGAGAGTCAGTATCAATTCGTCGTCTAAATTGACTCAATTCAATCTTTCTCTATTTCTTTTTCATCACACATTTTAGATGAGAAGATCGTATTTCAAAATGTAATTCATTTTTCAAATTTGGGATTATTTATCACTTGAAGAATGTATCTTGTAATGAGATATTATAAGTACAAAAATTGGCATTGTTCTTTTTGCTAAATATTTTTTTTTCTTGCTAAGAAATAATTTATTTATTCATTCTATATTTAGAAAATTTTCTTCAGTTACTCTTTTTAATATCTTTATTTTGATTCAACATAGAACAAACTTTTCTTTTTTTGACATCATTGATGGAATTTATTCCTAATAAGAATCAATGATGAATAGAAGATTGTTTAAATCTTAATCGAACTTCTATCTTATTTTCAAATATTATTATTAATATTCTTCATATAAATCCAATGATATAATCAGTTGTTTGATCCATTTTAAATTTGTGAGCCTCTTTATGTTATCAATTATAAATCTTTTCAATTCTCTTTAACTGAAATCTATTTATTATTTGCTTAATTTTTACTACTGTATATGCAGGTTCTTCTGTACGTTAGATGCTATTCTAATGTTTCATTGACTTATTGATTAAAAGCATCTCCCCGATGAATGCATTACATTAATTAAGAAAACTTCATTTTAAATGATCTCAGAAAATAGTAGATTGACTTAAAAATTACAAAAAAAATTGATTGAGGAATTGACATCTATCTGTTTCACAAAAAAAAAATAACTAATGATTTAGTTTGAATGTTTCGTAGAAGAACTTTTTAGCTTTGAATAATATAGATAAAATTATCTATTTTATCATTAAAATAATTGATAAAATTAATTCTATGTTCTTTTTGATCTACTAAACTTCTGCAGCCTCTTGAGGATACTTCAACAATTAGATTAATATCATTATAAGAAGCCCAAACGATTCATTTACAAAGTTTTCATGGTAAATTATAATGTGTTTCATGTCTTTATTTTATAGTTTTTTCTATTTAATAGAAAATAATAACTTACGTAAGGTTCTCGCTAAAAGAGTATTTTCTTGTTTTTTTAATAAATATTGTTTTTCATATTTCTCGTTATATTTAATGAAGAATGGCTGGTAGTAGTTGAGCATATTAAAAATATATTTAATCGTTTATTAAATTGAAACTTTTCATTGATATTTCAAATAGATAAGGTAAATGTTAGTTCACTTTTTATTCAATAGATATATTTCCAAAATGGCTGTTACACAATCAACTGTTCCTTATTAATTATGGTTGCAATTATTGTATTTATAGTGGGCATTCTAATATTTACTATTTTTATCATGGAACGAAAATGTTATTTGATTGCAACTATATTGATATGTGTAATACTTGTAGTGAAAACCTTCTTGTATTTCATCAGTCTTATCTTAAGCTCTTCTTCTTAAGAAACTCAATTTTTGTCAGATTTATTGAAATATTCGACATATTCGTGTTTTGATAATTTCCGTCATCGTCTGCTTGAAAAAGATACTGTTTTTAGGAAAAACAGGAAATCTTTTTTGTTTTTTCTTTATTTATGTTCTTTTGATCACGCATCCCAGGATTCTCAATGGAACTTCATTATAGTTAATTGACTTTTTTTTTGTTTGAAAAAGCATGCCAAAATGCAGGACACGAGACAGTTTCTTCTTTTGAGTTAAAATTTGTTTCTATTATATAAAAGAGTAATTTTATAATTAGAGTACTATTTTCTGAAAGTTTTTCGATACATTCAACTTTTCATCTCTTAAAAAGTAAGAGTTGAAAAAAAAGAAGATTCTATCATACCTTGCATTTTGACATGCTATTTCAAACGAAAAAAAAGCTGTTAGCGTAGTTCCCGTGGGATTAAAATGTGAAACAGGATATAGCTGCTGTCGCTGATTATAGGAACAGTGTTTTATGCTATCTATTTTGGGACATGTTTCTTCATCATTTTTTTACTTAATTCTTCAGCAATACAATAAAAAAAGGCTGGTATTTATATGAGCAATAAAAATACTGGAATGGGCATATAATCAAAATACGATTTAGCAATAATTTTTGAGCAACAAAAACACTTTATTTAAACAATAATTTTTGATTAATAAAAAAGCTTTATTTGAGTAATTTTATATTGTTAAATGTACAATAATTAATTCATTAAGTAGCAATAGTAATTTCATATTTTAGCAATAAAACAAAGAAAAACTATATTATTTTATATGAATTAGAGAAATAAAAAAGTTATTCACAATTGAAACAAAAGAAAAATGAAAAAAACAGTATATTATTTTGTGAATAAAGATTTTTTTGCTTTAGATAGTCTATCTCCTTTTCTTTTTATATTTTATTTTGTAAAATTGAAAAAATACGTATTTGTATATATAAATGAATTCATATTGCCCTTGGTCAACGGGTGATTGATCTAACACATTAACACTGAACTACTATTTTATTGGAGAAATGGTAATTATATATGTAAATGAGCTAGGAAAAAACCAAACATCCTAGAAAGAAAACATGATGAAGAAGGAAATATACCTGAACAACATCAAGAGAAGAGAAATATCTAAGCGAGGGAAAGAAAAGAAGAGAGAAAGAAAACAAAAGATATATGTATATATTGGAGTTGATTTTAAAATTCGATCCCCTTTTAAAGGCGACTAGTTGACTTTAAAATATTTTAAAATCAATCAGTTGACTTCAAAATAAATTTTAAATTCAACTAGTTGAATTGAAAAGGCAATTAGTTGATTTTGAAATATTTTAAAGTCAACTCCGACATATATGTGTCGTACTTGTCATCTGTATGACATCTTAGAAGAGAAAAAAGGAGAAAAGATATATAAGCGAGTCACACTATAACATTCTTTTTTATATAAAATCTACCTTATATAAAATTTACCTTTAATTTAAATAAATTTGCTCATTCTATATAATTATTGCTAAATTTCATTATTGCTCAATTAAATATAAGTCATAAAAACAGTAGTTCATATAGTATGGCGAGACATTATTTATATTCGGTCTTTGATCATATATCAACAACATCTGTTACGATTTATGGAAGGGAGAGAAGTGTCCAAATTTTTTACCCTTATATTTCAATACTCCTTTTAGATCGTGTTTCACAAAAAAGATAAATGTATAGAGTGAAGACTCACAGAGAATTTCGTTGCGTTGTCAAATGAGCTATTTTTTTTGTCCTTATTGGTTGAATATCTTTTGAAAACATCATAATATAGAGCTAAAAATTTTACCGTAACCTCTCCACTACTGCTCTAACATATCCTAAATATTTCATGTGATTGGAATATACCTGGCCTAAGAGGAGGGTGCAATTAAAGTCTTGCTGTTTGTTGTTCATATTTAATATAAACTATTAGTCGTTTATTCATTATTGTATTCTATATGCATTCACATCTTCAGGTCTCAATCTGTGCGTTCATTTATAGTTTTTTTCATTTAAATAAAAACGCAATTATCAACCTTAATGAGAAACATAGATGGAGACAGAGATAAAAAATGTTTATTCATTTAGCTATTTGCATGCATGATAGAATATCTTATGTAATTTCTTGACTTATATAGAATGTCAGTGGAAACAAAAACAGTCATTATTAGAATATTCTGGTGAGTACAAATGTAATACAGATGATCACTGTTGTCAAAATGATTGTTTAGTTTTATATGAATAAAAAACAACAGGTGCAAAATTTGGTTTGAAATATGTACGCAACATGTGATGACACTAACTATGAAAAAAAAAATATTTGAAGGCAATCAGTAAAGAAAAAAAAGACATTCTTTAGTATGCCTGTCTGTTGAATGTTATCCCATTGTTTGTTTTCCTCATTGATTATGCGATGCAATTTTTTTCTACGAACATTTGAATAAATTATGATTTTCTTCAGTTACTATGATAAAAATAATTAATACATGTTTGCGATATTATATTACGGCTAGTCTGCTTTTGGTTTGATTACAAAATGATGACAAAACACTGTTTTATTATTTCTTTTCTTAAACATATATTTTTTTATAAATTTCTAGTTCTTTTTTCTGATGTAATGAAAGACATTATCTGTTCACTGTTTGACAAAGATTTAATTTCTTTTTATTAAATTTTCTAGTTCAACGTTCATGATTAAAAACTTATGAACGATGTTCTATTTCGTTCGTTATAATTGTGTTCATCATATTAGTTTTCACCCATTATGATCAATCTTATGCATATTACGCCTTAAATCTTGATAACGAAATATACGAGGGAAAACAAAAAACATTTGATCCGATCGCATTTATCATTTCATTTCAATAAAAAAATGTCACGTAATTTAGAACCGAACATGCCTTCCGATCTTTTTTATATTATCAATTTTTCCTGTGCAATCATCGCTTCAATTATTGGTTTGATATTTAGTTTTACACTTATATTAATTATTATTACTAATCAACAATGTCACAGTATGTCTAATTTACTTGCATGCAATACTTCGGTTGCCGTTATTTTCTATTTAATCTTGACTATTTCGGCATCTATTTATGGTTTTCGTCAAGATTGGACATGGAATTCACCATTGTGTACTTTTCGAGCTTATTCTTTTGTCGTTACATTAGCTGCTGTTTGTTATTCATTTTCAATACAATCTCTTAGTCGCTTGTTTTTTGTTATTCATTATAAACGAAGATATCTTCTTACATGGCGTACACATGTTATTATGATTATTTTCAATTGGCTTATTAGTTCATCAATTCCAATGGTACCTTTATTTATTGATGGAAGTCTTGGATTAGAAAAAGAATCACGTACTTGTATAGTAAAAACGAATGCATTTTTAGCGGCAATATATTGTATGATCATGATCATTGGTATACCATTGTGTGTTAGTATTATGGTTTACTGTTCTATTTTATATCATGTACGTCAATCAACTTATCGAATTTTGCGTTCTGATCAAAATATAAATAAATACCTAACAATACAGAATGCTAAACGTGAGTTGAAGCTTGTACGACATATACTCATTCAAATTGTCTGTGCTTCATGTGGTGGAATTATCTTTCTTATTAATGTCTTTTGGCAAGCATTATCAGAAATACCTCTACCAAAGCCTATGTATTTATTAGAAATTAATTTAACAACTATGGGTGTTTCACTTATAACTATTGCACATTTTATGTTAAACACGCAAGTGAAAAAGATTGTTTGTCGATACTCATGTAATTGTTGTTAACTTAAGATAAATACGGTACTACATGTATATAGAATGAATGTTTCATTGTCATGATAATACGCATAATATCTGATTTGAAAACTTAGAAAAATATCTTTCATTTATATCAAACCTTTTAAATTAATTTATTAGAATGATAGAAAAAGAAAGAAATTGTGTTTTTTTTTATTTTTCTAGAGAAAAATGAAGATGAGTTTTCTTTTTGTCTGATTGTACGATACAAAAAATAATTATTGTTCATGTTGAAAACCTATGTAAAGGCACATTCAATATTTTATGGCATTGATGAAAATGAATAGATATGTATCTCTCTTGTGTTGCAATATCTCCTATGTGAAATTGATTTATACAAATAAAAGTTAAATTTATTCATCACTGGTGTAAAGTGGATTTTCACGTCATGCTTCAATGGATCATCCGACATAAAATAAATCTTTGTTACAACAATTATTTAAACATTTTCTAACCGTAAAGATCACTCTAAAAGGCACTACGAATTATTATTTTGCATACCTATGTAGATGCGCTGACGCATAATGGTGTATTCATGAAAAAATAATAAAAATTAGTAGGTTCTATCTCTAACAACCACTCAAGATTTCTCTAAAGTCATTGCTAAAAGTATGTTAAAACTGTGTCTCAGTAACTTTTCTAAATACCTTAATTTATGTATAATTATCCTAACATAATACTTAGATATATATTCAGAATTATATCAAATTTGGTAGACTTTTAAGTTAAGAGCTATTCCATCGTATTTTTTCAATTCTTCAAACTTTATAATACATCATTGTGTAGATGACTTTTGAGCTATCGAAGCATACTTATGACTATGACCTTCTATCATTGTGAAAAATTAATTAAAATTTTAAGAAAAATAATTTTCTTATAAAGCATGATCATTCAATGAATATAAACGCCTTCAAATGACACGATATTTAGTCGATTTCGTTATTTCCACTGACAAAATTTCAGTTTATGATAGTAAAATTAATAAAATAAGAAGTTCTGTATAAATGTTCTGGCATTAAATTGATGTATGTATTGGAAATATTATTTAATCTGGTAAAAATCAGCTGAGACCAAATATTTAAAAAAAGTATTTCTTTCGTGTTCGGTTCATTAGTCTTTTTCATCATAATTAACGAAGAATATCCAACAGAATTTCATTCACTTTCAATCAATCAAATATTTTACATATTCTGTAACTGCTTGAAGATAAGCAGATATTGTACTATGTAAATTTAATTATTCACATTCAACTAATCGAGCTAATTTTTTTCTTTCCTTGAAAAACAATTAATAAAAAAGATTTTCACAAGCATTATATTTTTTTCAATTTCATTTTTAATAAATCGAATTGTTTTTTTTCCTAGATGGCAAAAGTTATCGAAATTCATTATTCATTTTTTTTAATTGGGATAATTCCGTGAGATTTTCACCATCTTTCTGGAAAGTTGTGTTTTTTACACTTTCATCATCTAGTTTGATGTATTGGTAGCAAAAGCAGTGTGAGTTAACAATTAAAATCTTCTTTTGAGGGTGCAGATGTCAATATAGATGTGAATGTGGGTGAACTGAAGACTCACATTCACACCCACACTCACAGTCATTTATCGTATCGATATTCTTGGTGCATTGAATGATTTGTTCGTCTGAATGATGAATAGCATCTACAACACCATCAATAGCTTTCTTCGCCCACTGCACCTTCACTTCTGTACGTCGCTGTTATCAATCCATTATTTTTGCTCTTCGCCTGTTTGCCTTTCTCTTGAAACTCGATTCACTCCGTATTCGTGTTTGTCTTCTCGCCAGATAACGAATACTTTTCTATCTGATTGTTAGCTAAAGGTAGGCAAGTTGACGAAGAGAATGTTATCATAACAATAAGGAGTCTGTGAGCTACCTCTTTTCTATCCATGTTTCTTTCTGTTTGCAAGACTTTGCATTGGGTTCTTTAGCCATCTGCTGCTCTCTCTGTCTCATTTTCCATCTTACATTTACGTTACTTCGTTTTTGTCTTCCACATTTTCCTTTTTAACTCTTATCTTCATTCTTTCTCTGCATGTTCTCGTTTCGCAAAGACTACTTCACTTTGATTGTTCCTTTTCATATGGAATAAAGATCAATCTCTTCACTTGTTTGAGACCGAGCAGATCAGTGAACGGTGGATATCATCCATATTACTTGAAAACCTTTTTGATAGTTCACTCTTATTGATTCAGACTAAACTTGTTTCTCCTTTCGGGTTTGTCTTAATTTTCTAACTACTCTTTGTCTCGCATCGCATACACATGTTACACTTCTCTTTCACGACCTTCTTCCTCAAAGTGCTCTTCTTCATCGTCTATATTTTTTGCTCACATTCTGTGTTAGTGTACATGATATGCCCGCTGATAATACAGCATTTGATTTCGATCTGCGAATAGGTATATAAAATACTCTAACATCAACCCACACTTTTTTAACACCATCGGACAGTGTAGTGGCGGAACCAGGATTTTTTGGTATGCTGTAGCTCAGCTTTAGAGCATGGGATCCAAATGAAATTTATGGAGGTTGATATTGGTCTCAAAAGATGACTTTCTATGACACGATTTTTACGATCAAAGTTTGCGAAAAAAATTAGCATTTTCCTGAGCTCCCTCAAGAAATATTTAATGCTTTTAGTAGTATCCGCTTTTTGAAAATGCCATCGTAAGCTACGTTGACTTTCATCGACAGATTTCAAATTTCATCTAAAAATATTCATCCACTTAGGAGTTATAACGTTTTGAACTTCTGAGGTAATTTTTTTGAAATGTAGGAAAACTTCAAGAAGCCATAACTCCTAAACGGATGAATATTTTTAGATGAAATTTGAAATCTGTCGATGAAATTCAACGTAGCTTACGATGGCATTCTCAAAAATCGGATACTACTAAAAGTATTAAAAAATTTCTTGAGGGAGCTCAGGAAAATGCTAATTTTTTTCGCAAACTTTGATCGTAAAAATCGTGTCATAGAAAGTCATCTTTTGAGACCAATATCAATCTCCATAAATCTCATTTGGATCCCATGCTCTAAAGCTGAGCTACAGCATACCAAAAAATCCTGGTTCCGCCACTAGGACAGTGCATCAAAGGTTATGTCTTATGTAAAGTTTGGGTATTGTTTGTAGATAACCTTTCGGGACATATAGGGCAAATATCAGTGAAAAACTCGGTTTCGATTGATTTTTGCCGATTTTCAAGAAATCTCCAGTTTGAGTAACTTTTCTGATTTTATACTCGGATTCAGGGTAAAATTTTGCATTTCATGCATTATCGATTATACCTTTTCGATGGCTGTGTGGGCTGTGGGATTTATAAGGATCTAGTTTTACGAAAACAAAAAAAAAATTGTGGCAAATTGTTGTATTCTCCCTGTGAACTTGTTTCAACACTTCTAACTGTAATATTCGTGACCAACATGATTGATTGCATGTTACTAAGTGGTTTTGAAAAACAATATAGAACGAAAGTTTTTCAATAGCTCTGTAGAAGACCATTAGTTTGAAAAATCCGACCGAGACATTATGCGAAACTAATGAGCGAAGGTCTATCGATAATCAAAAGCTTTTTGAGTTAATATATTTCCCAATAGTTGGAAACAGATAGTCTAAAGCAACACTCAAAAGGTTCGTGTTCTCATTAAGATTTAACGCAGATAATTGAATTTTTGTTGAATTCTACCTGTGATTGTCAATTTTTCAATACAATCATATTTTTTTCGAATTTTGATCTGACACTTTGCCCTTATGAAGGTCTAACTTAGTTTAGCTTGTGTACGAAGTTTGAAAAACTTTTAGACATCATCTCTTCGAGATATGCATTTTTCCAAGGAGTAATCTTTCATAGTATGAATGGGATAGCTTCTAAGTTTTGAGACATGGAAATCTCGAGCAGCTTAGATTCAAAAATTCTGAAATTTCGTACACAAGCTAGACGAAGTGAGTCTTTCATATGGACAAAATCTCAAGTCGAAATTCGAAAACCTGATTCGATGAAAAAATTGAGAACCACAAGGAGAATTCAATAAATATTCAATTACGTCAGGCAAACCATAATCGTAATGACAGCATCTATGGACTTTTCCTCGTACGTTGCAGGATATGTTCCTTGGCATGTATCGACATCGCCCCAGCACAGGAAAGCCGAAAATTTTTGCGGGCCAGGAAAGAGTCTTATCCACTCTTCTCTTTTTCGATGAATAATATTTGATCAGCGACAGTGGATGTGCTGCACATTTCGGCGAAAGCAGTCTGAATGGGAATAAGACTGTAATTCGATAAAAGAAGAATGATTCTCTTTTTCTTCTACTACTAGACTACCTATATGAAACAGAAATTATTTCATCACTATCAAGATAGTCATATTACAAAACTATAGTGTTGCCTTCCTCTACTACGATAAAATAAACCTACTACAACTCCACCCTAAATTTCTCTTTTTCTTGCAGTAAAGATAACGAATAAATGCGCAAATAGACAAGTTTCTGGATGCTTCTACGAGCAAAATACCTTGCATTCGTTGCCTACTTTATAAAAGAACGTGCACAGATAAAATACATAACATTTTATCATTTTGCGTACTAGCCAACAACGGTAGAAAAGAGTTATATCTTCAAACAAATACGTCGCATCGCTTCTATTCAAACTACAGTAGCGTTACACAGGTTTCTTTTTATTTACTATCGGTACCAAAATAGTTACTATGCGCATGGATGTTTTTTCAATATCTCTGAGACCGATGTATCTAGCGATATGCGCCTTTCAAAATTCGAACGAGAAATGTGGTGAAAATATATAAATAGAAAAAGCATTAGGATAAGAGATGGTAAAGGAATCTCTGGAAACCTGGACTTAGGTTAAAAGTTCGCTCTCAAACCTATCTGAAAACAAGATTAGTGAAGAAACCCGTAGCGTAGAGACTATTTTTTTGGTGACTACATATGTCCTAAGTAGTAGAAAGAAGTAA